GTTTTCAGGATTTTTTGCCACAGAATTAGTGGCGGAATCACTGAACGAGAAAAGACAGAGACTGAAGAATAGGAATAAAACAAAATACATATTCAGTGAACACAACCCTTGAAACGAGTTTTTAAAAATAAAGTTCTGCTAAATAACTAATAAATAATAACATAAAGTAACTCATAATATAACATAATTTAAAATAAAAACTTATTTCGATAACAAGTCTATAGCCAATAACGAATCAAACTCCGCCCTTGATTGTATATCAAAAAGTCAATATTTGTCAAACTATTTTTGTATTTATTATAATTGTAATCAATAATCCATTACATAAAGGAGTGGATTAAAACATTTTATCAACTTATATTAAATCTAAAACACAATTCTTGGTCCAATTAAAGTCTAAAAACTTATGCAAACTCCAGAATCCGGTGCTTTAAGTTCACTCAACAGAACTTCAGAGACAAATTGGATGCCATTATCACTGAATTCCCAAAAATGGAGGCAATGTTAGGTCATAATCGCAAAGCTATCTAACTGTTAATATGAAAACTTTTGATCATTTAATTAAAATTGACTTTTTATGCCAATAACAGATGGATAATACTGAATGTAATGTAAAACCATTTTTTTATTGTTATTTATATTTTAGTTTAACACATACTGTAACAGATAGAGAGTAATTTAATATTCATAAGTTATATTTTATATTAAAACATAATAAGTTATTTATCAAAATAGAGAATTACTAAATAATATTTTTAAATGTGATAGTTTTTCAATTTAACATGATACAATTTTAATTGAATATTTCGATAACAAGTCTATAGCCAATAACGAATCAAACTCCGCCCTTGATTGTATATCAAAAAGTCAATATTTGTCAAACTATTTTTGTATTTATTATAATTGTAATCAATAATCCATTACATAAACGAGTGGATTAAAACATTTTATCAACTTATATTAAATCTAAAACACAATTCTTGGTCCAATTAAAGTCTAAAAAACTTACGCAAACTCCAGAATCCATTATCACTGAATTCCCAAAAATGGAGGCAATGTTAGGTCATAATCGCAAAGCTATCTAACTGTTAATATGAAAACTTTTGATCATTTAATTAAAATTGACTTTTTATGCTAATAACAGATGGATAATACTGAATGTAATGTAAAACCATGTTTTTATTGTTATTTATATTTTAGTTTAACACATACTGTAACAGATAGAGAATAATTTAATATTCATAAGTTATATTTTATATTAAAACATAATAAGTTATTTATCAAAATAGAGAATTACTAAATAATATTTTTAAATGTGATAGTTTTTCAATTTAACATGATACAATTTTAATTGATTATCTAAAATAAATACACAAACAAGTGTTTTTATATTTCATTTATTTGTTTATTCATTTTAAACAAAATATTCTCATTGAAAACATATTAATATTTTGTAAAAATTGAATAATAATTGATGTGAAATGTTTACAAAATAAAGTAAACGTCTCTCATCTCACATGACATAAAACTAGTAAAAACTAAACAAATACTTTTAAAACACAAGTGACAAGAATACTGAATAAAAGGACTGAATAGTGAGCCCTATTTCCACTACTACTCACTAACATTGCTTTGGCTTTAGCGTCGGTTC